ACGTATTTTTTCATATGCTATGCCTTTCATTAAAACTAGTTTCATTGTTTAACCCTCGCCGGCACAAGGGGGGCAGGTTTTTCGCAAATAACTCGGGCAAAAAGCGGCCGATCGCGACGACACTTTCAGTACCCTCGTGTTAATCAATTTTACACCTACCCTGATAATTTCATGACCCTGACCCAAATAACCTTTGACCTGTGACCTATTTTCCAAGACCATGTTTGGCCAGAATCGCGATTCGGCGTACGTCGGCCCGCATTAGCAGCGCGTTTGCAGTCTTTTCGTGGTTTCACGCGTTCAAACATGTGATATGATGTTGGTCTCATGGATAAGGATGGGTATCAAGGTCACCTGAAGGTCAGGTCAGGTCATTGACCTTTGGTGGCCTCGGTTAAAAACCATTTGAACATTTACAAAGTAGTTTTCGTGCCTTCGTAACATGCTACGGGGCTGTCAGAAGCGGTTGCCACCTACTACAAATACCCGGCAGCACCCTTACTGGTTGACCTGACCTGACCTACCTGACCTGGCCTTCATGCATAAAGACATCATCTGTGATCAAAACCAACATGATATTCGTGATCAGCGCCCCGAAAAAAAAACAGCAGCCACCCTTTGCGATGTTCTTGCAGGTCCCGATTTTCCCGACCTTTGGGTCATTGACCTGACTTAGAAGGTCAACCGATGACCTAGGACCTCAAAATTGGGTATCATCGGCTTCCTCTCGTCAAGGGCAACACGCTCGTTTTTTTTTCCGCAAAGCTCTAGCTCGATCAGGGGCCAAACGCCAGGGAGGTCGTCCCTTGTGCTGTCGAAGGACGCAAAATGGCCTGTGCCGGCGAGGGTTAAAGGGACCCTCCCACCTTAACATTAGTTTTGAGTTGAGATAGCCAAATTGGTGGCCATGGCCTGAAAACACCGGTTTGGGCATTCACAACAACGAAAAATGCTTTAATTCTGAGATATGGAATTTCAAACTTGCAGTTTTCGGATTCTAAGGGGCTAATGCATTGGTATGCCCCCTTAGAATTTGTGACGTCAGCGGAGATCTAACGATTTTTAAATCTTTTACTAAAACGTTTGGCAGCACGCGGTGGCATATGCTGCTTTGCGCGCAACAAATGCCGCACTTTCAAATAAAGTCGCTAGGAACAGCGGAGATCCCAAAAAGTAAACAAAAGTAAAAGTCTAATATCTTGAAAACCGGTGAATATTTTTCGATGAAATTTGGTAGATATTCATTTTTGCTCTTTCTGAACCGAGCGACATCACTTTCATGCCAATTAATTAACTTTTTTGAAGGTGGGAGGGTCCCTTTAAAGTATAAATTACCTTATGAAAAGGCTACACTGAATATGGAGCATGGATCTATGCAGCGCAGATGACCAATGACATTCAGGTACTCAGATTATTTTTCAAAGAAAGGAGCAAAATAGAGCCAAAAACCGGAACATGTAAACCATTACGGCCCGAGTTTCCAAAAACTGTAAATCTTTTATTAATTTTCGCTTTTAACCCTTGTATATTCTGCCATGACAAGTCTACGACAAAGGGGAACAGGCGGTGATGTCGTTCATTGCATTCTCTAGTTTTGCCAAAAGTGTATAGCTACCAAAAAAGAATGATTCCGGGAAGAGCCGGCATAGGTACTGGACGTCAATATTTTGGGCAAAGAAAAAACAGCCTCCACTGCAGTAGCTTCTGGTTTTAATATGTCACGAAGCAAATATAACTGTTGAACGCATCTCCAAAGTCGCAGCGAGAAGGGACTTGCCTGGATTGTGAGCTCGAAGATCCTGTCAGTTATATGCAGTGAGATGATAGTTGCTGCTGCGAGAGCGTCGTCTCCGAGCGTATCGTCACCACTCCCACCTTTTCCTGCACCACTCTCCGCCGAAAACTCTCACAATCCACTGACAGTCCACTGACACCACCACCGGCATGTTCACTGTAGGTGCAACTGCCAACCGACTGCTGCCTTGAAAATGGCGTCGAATAACGCACGTGCATCAGTGCCGCAATGGCGGCAAAACTCTTTCAAGAGGAGTTTCAGGTCTTTTTTGGGAGTTCAGTTACTCTTCTTTTCTTTTGACTGTCCTCGCTGTTCTTCGTTAACTCCCTTTGCGGTGAATTACTCTGCATTGCGTACTTCCAAGCTTATTCGAACTGTCAAAGCAGAGTAACAAAACTCTGACCGGGTTTGTATACTCCGAGCGGTTATGCATGGGGAGTAAATGAAATCCCAATCTCTTTCCTTTACTCCGACAGATAAAGTGAGGTACTTTTATTACTCTTCCTCGCCATGAAATACTCCAAAATGAATGGTATATGAACACCATCAAAAGGAGTTTTCAAAAAAAGGTGTATGTAAATCTCTCGCGGAGTAAATATTTTTTTCCGTGTAGGAACAGCGGAGATCCCCAAAAGTAAACAAAATTAAAAGAATAATATCTTGAAAACCGGTGAATATTTTTGTAGATATTCGTTTTCGTTCTTTCTGAACCGAGCGACATCACTTTCATGCCAATTCATTAACTTTTTATAGGCCTATATACGGCCTTGGGTGGGAGGGTCCCTTTAAGTTTCATCTCTCTGCGAAAGATTCCTTTGCACTGAGAGCGTTTCGACATTCTTGGACCAAGCAGAGGCTCCCCTGCAACATGACCGTCATAAGAAGCGTCACAGATCAGTAACATGACCTGACCTGAAAAAACTTCTGGTGCCAAAAGATCCTGATTGAATCCAATGTCAGTTATGTAGATTATCAGCTCTCTATCGCTAACGCGTTCCAAGCAACCTTGAGGCGTTGTAGCTTAGTTGCACCCTCCCCTGCGGGGTGGGCACTGGGCATCTAACCCACCCACGGGGTAAGAAGCCAGACATGAGTTGTTCGGGAAAACGTATTATTCCTAACAAATATAGGTACCTAATCTTGGGGAGTTATGTGTGAGGGAGAACGGGACACTTCCGTGCATAGGGCACGTTCGTTTTCAGCAGTTTATAGGAACACGAGTGGCTGCCCAAGCTCAAGGTACCGTAAAGTGGGGCTATTTAGAGACAGTGGGGCTATTTGAGACAGTAAGGTAATGGTATAGTAAAATCGCTGTAAAATGAAAACCGTTTGATGTTTTTTTTCGTCATTTTTGCTTAGGCTAATGTGGAATTGAACAGTGAATGCTCTGAATAACCTTTTTGAAAATTTCGAAAAGTTCTGAAAGAAATTTGCAATAAAATACGAAATACAGAAAAACGCACAATTTAAGTTGCTCGAAAAGGACCCCTACCTGCAGCTTAAAAAAGTTGAAGTTTTAACAGCTTCGCCACTTTATCCATCGTTACTACCTTTTTGCTTATAGGCTAAGCACATTTTTCATGAAAATATTATATATTATTAACGGTACTGCCGATTGCGTAACCCATTGTCTCAGAATCCCGATGATGCCCACCTGGTCAAACCTCAACGGATATGCCAAATAGCTGATGATAACGGTGATGCGATGCACCCGAGAAGACTTACCGCCATCTACCTGAAGTGCATCGAACGTTCGACATAAGCATCACCGGTGAATCGGTCGTGGTCATAAACGTGCAGTGGGTTCATGGTAGGTACTTCAAGCAGCAAACAGTATTTACATGTTCGTAGTGTAACATAATAACCCTTTAGCTGGTGACCAAACTAGTTACTCTGATGAATATGTGCTTAAAATTTGTTTCATCAGTCACTGACTCAGTCGACAATCAACATATGTCTACCTTGGTTGACCAAAAAACACCATTGAATGTTACTTAACACATGAACGTACTGTTAGGTGAGCCTATTCAAGTACTTAATGTGGTAGGGTAACCGGCCAATTGATACAGCATGCAGCGATCGAGGAAAAATGGCATAAAATCAAAACCGTTTAACATTTCTCTGTTATTTCTTCGCATGGAGATGTACAATGGAACAAACAATCATGCAGACCATTCACTCAAATGTTTTCGGAAACCTTTTGCCTTGTTTGATTCATTACAGTGTGCTTCATAAGGTAGCGAGACTGTCTCAAATAGCCCCACCGACTTTCGGTATATCTGTTTTCACGTCACCGGGGCTATATACAAAAACTTACTTTCAAAATTTTACTGTCGATGACTTCGAAATAGTCCTTGATGATCATCCTGTCATTTTGAAAGCTATGGGTCACATCATATTATGATAGCCTTAGCATATAGTGATGCAATTTTATACCCTACCGAAAAGAAGTGTCCTACGAAAAAGGAAAAGATAATATAATAATATAATATAAATATAAATATAAAGGTCATATAACAGTCTTTGAAAAAAAAAACAATTTTTGCCAAAATGATCAAAATTCAATTTCCAAATGCATGGCGTTTAAAAAATTATCTCTAGCATGACCGAGTTTCTTGAATTTCTTTGCAACTAAAACTGTCTCAAATAGCCCCACCCTATGGGGCTATTTGAAACAGGCTTTAACATAAAAAATAACCTTAATCATTATTACTAGCTTAACCAAAATGCACCTATATGAAAGAGCTCACAGAGAACTACATTTTTGCAATTTACATGCTATAAGAAATATGAACCGTCTTAAAGGGAGAGGCCAACAACTGTAAAATCCGTTTCAAATAGCCCCACTTTACGGTACCTAAATTATGAAAATATGTCTATCGTTGCCGCCCCTCGTTCACTGTAAAAAACAACAACACTATACCTGCTAGCATGCTTGATAAAACGCAAAGCTGTATTTTTCGTGCGCTTCCCAATTTTGTCAAATGTCTGCGTGGTAGGTACAGGTGCGCAGTTTCGCCACCAAATCGAACGCAAATGAGATATCGACGCGCCGAGGGCGGACAGGATACCGGTCGTGGCCAGGCAGCGGCCAGGAGCCGGCCGACCGAGCACCGGCGGCGACGGCGTAAAATCGTCCATTTGAGCACAGCCGCGCCTCCGTCCGCGGGTACGCGCGCCTCCGTCCGCGGGTACGCACGCCCCGACCTTGGACGACCCATGTGCGGGTCTAGCTATAAAAGCGCACAGCACCGCGTCCAAAGCAAGCACTTCCCTTCAGTGGAACCGGACAAAACACGTCAACATGCGCATCTTGGTGAGATTCGTTACCTACCCTGAACGACGCGAATCGGTTCTCAGGCTGTTCACGCGGGAACTTTTGTCGTTTCAGTGTGGAGATGAATAATGTAAAAACAGCATCATAAATATATATTTATCCATTTTTTTTAGCGTTCATCATGTTTAAACCGGAGTCTTATTCGTTAATACTGGGGAAAAATAATAGTTTTTTTTAAAGAGTTTGCTTTTCTGAGTCGTTTATCTATCCCGCATCCGTTTCTTGTCCGGTGCGATGTAGGTATCCGGGATGCCGTGTGCTCCGTGTGCTCCGTCTCTGACGCTCTGACCCCGTGTGCGCCCAGCTGCTGCTCGCCGCGGCCGTCGGCGCCGCCCTGGCCATGCCGACCTCCCATCCAGCCGGCGCTGGCGCTGCGGCGGAGCTGGGAGCGCCGGCCCACCCTCAGAAGGCCGCTGCTGCCCAGCCCGCCGACCCACAGACCCAGGCCGAGCACCTCGCCGAGACTGCGCCAGCCTCGGCGACTGCCGAGACGGCCGGACACGCCGCCGCCGAGACCCCTAAAGACACGGAAGGCACTCCGGTCTCCAAGACTGCCGGACCCGAGTCCGTAGCCGAGTCGACAGCCGAGGCTGATCAGACTGCTGAAGCCACCCACACTGGTCAAACTACTAAGGCAGCTGAGGCTGCTGAGACTACTAGGGGAGCTGAGGCTGCTGAAGCTGCCAAAGGCGCTGAAGCTGTTGAGGGTGCCGAGGCTGCTGAGGGAGCCGAGGCTGCTGAGGGAGCTGAGGTTGCTGAGGCTGCTGAGGGAGCTGAGACTTATGAGGCTGCCGAAACTGCTGAGGGAGCTGAGACTGCTGAGGCTGCCGAGGCTGTCGAGGCTGCTGAGGTCGCAGAGGTCACTGAAGCTGCCGAAGGATCTGAAGCTGCTGGAGCTGCTGAGGGAGCTGAGGCTGCTGAGGCTGCCGAAACTGCTGAGGCTGGTGAAGCTGCCGAAACTGCTGAGGGAGCTGAGGCTGCTGAGGCTGCCGAAACTGCTGAGGTAGCTGAGGGAGCTGAAGCTGCCGAGGCTGCTGAGGGAGCTGAGGTTGCTGAGGCTGCTGAAGGAGCTGAGGCTTCTGAGGGAGCTGAAGGAGCTGAGGCTGCTGAGGGTGCCGAAGGAGCTGAGGCTGCTGAGGGTGCCGAAGGTGCAGGCGAGGCTGGGTCTGCTGAGGGGGCTGAGGGCGCCGAGGGTGCTTCCGAGACCGAGTCTGAGGCTGCTGAAGAGGGTGAGGCATGATGTGCTAGCTGGCACTAGCTGGCATCATCAGTATCAAAGTCTGGGTCAGACATCCTCAGGATGCCGCCTATCGGGAGCTCTGCCTCAGGGACAGCTGTGATTGTGTCGTACAAGTAGCTTTGTCATGTGCGCTGTCTATTCAGCCGAGTTCTGTGTGAAGTGGGAGTGCTTACCTATATGTAGTTGCCTGATGGCTGTGAGGAGAAGATCGCCACCACGGCGACAGTTCTCTGAAAGAGTGCAGGCAGCTCAGTTTAATGGCTCTGTGTTTCTTTACTTTGAAATAAAAGTTTACAACGATTAACGTTATGTAGTTCCATTGGTGGACGTTCCGAATCCCGGTGGTTTGAGCCAGGCCTAAATTCGAAGGAACAAATGCCGGTCCCGTAGCTCAGTCGGTAGAGCGTTGGGCTCCGCGTGGTGACAGCACGCGTTCCCGGTTACAGCAGTCCGGGTTCGAGGCGCGACGGGCGCTTGACGTTTATGGGCCTCTTCAGGTGGAGCATTCCACGATAGATCGACCAAAGCCGTACACCCTCATATGTTATTTTTTGAACTGGGGTAATGGGTTGTGATGGGCGGGGAAGCCAGCTGTGGCAAATTTTTTTTTTCGAACAACGGTTTCCGAGATATAGCCTCGGGCAATTTCTGGAGGTCTCGCTGCAACCCTATGTTTGGCGGCTTATACAGGGTGTTCCAAAAAAGTGAGCCCCCAAACTTATATTGCTTTTATCTCCAAAACCGTATGTCCTACGATAATGAGAGACCCCTTGTTGGAAAGAACGGTCAATTTCGGTTCTAGTAGGCTACCTAGTGTGGTTCTGAATGATCACGTATTACACCGAGAACGACCAGAACAAAATGTGTCGCGAGATCGAGTGAAACTTGGCGACGGCGGTATGCCCGCCTAATTATTATTGCTTTTATCTCCAAAACCGTATGTCCTACGATAATGAAAGACCCCTTGTTGGAAAGAACGGTCAATTTCGGTTCTAGTAGGCTACCTAGTGTGGCTCTGAATGATTACGTATTACACCGAGAACGACCAGAACAAAATGTGTTGCGAGATCGGGTGAAGCACGGCGACGGCGGTAAACGTGTATTGCTGACGGCAACGCACAACCGATATTGGAGTGGTCAAAATACTGGTTGAACTAGCCCCGCGTTCGATGTCTCTCGGACGACGAAGATTCTACGTCGTCCGGCCAATCCCGTCCAAGGTCAGTGGGGGCTCGGCTGCGGTTATGGAACGTGATTGGCCGGGCGGCGTAGAATCTTCGCCGTCCGGGAGACATCGAACGTGACCTAGGTCATCCATTCAGTCTTCATTTTTTTTTTATGATAAAAGTTCACGCGCGAAGAATGAATAAAAGCACGTGAACTGAAATATGCAGTCAGATGTGAAGAAATTTTAACCATATCCGTTACCCCTAAATATTTCACTAAGAATTTGGTATTGAATTGTGCTTTTCACAATGCTGGTCGTGTTGTGCAAGCTATGTAACAGAATTACGACTTATCTGGATGGAATTCGATTGCTCTTTCTAATGAGCGGCTTTCCAAAGCTGTAGGATACACGGTTGCGGAGATACCTGATACAGTCGATCTTAGTTAGGGGGCTCACTTTTTTTGGAACACCCTGTAACTCAGAAACTATTGGTTTTCTATGAGGACAACTTTAAATCGTTCAACCCGCAATCAACCAATGAACATTTTGGCTATCTCAGATTTTCAATTTATATAAAATTTTGATCACGTGACCTCTTCACCTATTTTTCGAATTTTTCGAAGTAAAACAGTGCACATCTCGACGTTTCGTCAAGCATCTGACATCATGAGGATCATCAATGGCGCTAATATTTACGTAATACACAGCCCACAGGTAAATGGCGAACATGACGTCACTAAAACGTCATTTTCTCAAAAAAAAAAAATTCCGACAGATTTAGCTCCAATTTTCAGGAAACGTCTTAATTCGTATTCATTTCGGGCTACACTGAGGTAAAAAATTGTTAAAAACCAAATATTTCGGCGTTATTGAGTAGCTTTGTAATTTGTTCACTGGTTTGAAATATGGTTTGAAATACATATTTCAAACCAGTGAACAAAGCTACTCAATAAAGCCGAAATATTTGGTTTTTAACATTTTTTTACCTCAGTGTAGCCCGAAACGAATACGAATTACTATCAATTCCTGAGGAAGATTCGAAATGACACTTCGTCAATACCTGAAACGTCTTAAATTGATGTATGATAAGGTACTGAAAGTTTGACGTCGCTGGCGTAACGCGTTTAGAAGTTATTGGCGGGCGCGGGTTATAGGTATAAACGGCTTCCAGTACACGGAGACGTCGAGTGTCATGGCATCTGTCGATGATGGTAGTGTTTTTGACCATGAGTCAGAGTTGTCGTGTCAGCGTTGTGTTGTGGTAGTTCTGAGTGTGTGTCTTGGGTCAACCGTTTTGCAAGTGCAAAGTGATGCGTCTGCTGAAGGAGGTTGTCGTCAATCCTATGCAAGTAGGTACCATTGTTTCGGAGCGCACAGTCTCCGAAGGTGCATGTGTATTGGTAAACTACATCGGATTGTTTTAGTACTGACCTGTCTTGTGACACTCGACAGGTTGTTTGCCATCACGAGTGAGTGGGTGGTTGGGCTCTGATAATAGATTATCAGTTTCAAGAGGTTACTGGAATTTACGGGCTTGCAGAATTTGCCCACGATGTTACGGAGAACCTTTTCGTCTGTCTTGTAGGCCAGGGACATGCTGTTTTTGTAAAACAGTTTTATTGTTGTCGCCTGCTCGTTTTGAGGACGTGGAGGTGATACGTACTTTGAGATCGCGTCACAGATGTGCCTGTCTACCACCTGTACTGGGTAGTTGTTGTTCGCAAGAAGCTGCTTGAATCTCCTCAGTTCACTGTCTAACCCGGTCCAAGAAGAACAGTGTTTTATAGCCTGTGTATATAAGCCTTATCACACTGTCTTTGTATCTATCCGGACACTGGCTGCTACCGTTCAAACATAATCCTAAATCTGTGGGTTTCCGATAGACGTCATTTAATAGGTACGATAGTACCTATTATCCGAATCAAAACCAGAGGCGTTCTCCTCTCCAATGGCAGAAAATTAATTGAGGGTCCGAGCGGTTTATGAGGGTAGGGTAGTGCTTTGCTAACAGACACAGCCAACAATCAATAAAAGCCTCACTCTAGTCAATTTTGGGTCGTTAACAGTGAACCAGTGCATTTCAGGGGGAGGTGTAAGTACCAAGCCCAGCCCCGCACTTAACCTAAAGCAGCGAAGGATATGCCCAAAAGAAAACATATTTTAGAAGGAACGTCTAGATCCGGTAAATATTGGTAATTGCGATATGGCCAGTTTTCCTTGAAAGCAAATATAGGTAGATATTTTTGGGATATTCTTAGGGATAATCGGTGAGACAAATCGGAGCTATCGGAGACTGTAGGAGACAGGCTGGGCTATTTGTGCACCTCTGCAGTCCGCATACACGAGCGGTGGCAGCGGTGATACCAATCACTGCCCTACCCTTTCGGTACACTCGGGGGCAGATTGATGTTCCACCACTCCCTACCCATCGGGCTCCCATGGCTCAGCTCTGGCTGCTGCCAGTGGCAGCACTGGCAGCACTGGCACTGGCAGGCAGTGCTGAGCAGTGCTGAGGGCAGGCAACACTGACAGCAGCCAGTGCTGAGCCATGGGATCGCCCGATGGGTAGGGAGTAGTGGAACATCAATCTGCCCTCGAGTGTACTTCTGAGAGGCAGCCAGCCGTCTCCTCAGTGACTCGCTCCCATCAAGTCGCCAGCTGCGATTCAGACGGACTGTTACAGCGGTACCCACGGGCACGGGTACTTTCGCCGTGTCGTCCGATCGTCACGCGATTGTGCGTTTTATTCACTTCTGACGTCAACTTAAAGACCTAGAGCGAAATGCTATATATTATATGAATGTTGAATACTCCATCACTGGACGTGAAGCGTACCACCGTAACCATTGCCTGTGGATACGAGTATGACGTTAATTTTGACTGATAACGTTCAACTTTGACCGTTCATGTCCATCGCAGCTTCTCACGCGAAGCTGCCGTTTTTTTCCAGGCACCTCGGGTGTCCAACACGGACGCCGGCCAGCCGATCCGACCGGTACTCGCTAGGGTCAGACAGGGGTGTCAGCGTACCGCCAGTGTATTGGGCACGGACCCCGCGCCCACACCCGCGGCACTGTCCAGATCCCGAATAAAACAGCTCCGCGGCGGCGGCGCACCTACTGCGCGCCGCTAGCAATAAAGTCAGGTATTTCAACGGGCCCAATAAGGCATATCATCATCATCATCATCATCACATCGGCCGCGCACTTCCATCACATGCGCAGCGTCCCCCCGGTATCTGCCCCGTCTGACGTCACACAGACTCACACTGACGTCATACCCGGCCCCCGTCTGACGTCACACACACTGACGTCATACCCGGCCCCCCGTCTGACGTCATACAGACACTGACAGCATACCCGGCCCCCTGTCCCACGTCACACATACAGACGCTGACGACCCGTGCGTTCATCCATATCCCCCCCCCTCCCCCCCCGGTCCGCAGGGTGTTCACGGCTCGCCTCAGTGGCACGGCTGTGGCCAGCTCGGTGGTGCGCGACCAGAACACTCGGTAAGGCGCCCAGAAGAGGCCCCTCAGCAAAGATAGAGTCGTGTGGTAGAGCTCCAGCGTCAGTTTCCGCGGCGGTTTCCGCTCCGCCCGGCAGGTATAAAGTAGCCGACGTCCGCCGGGACCCGCACTCAGGGTCGGTAGGCACGCCCAACACACACACATACACACACACACAGCGCAGACGGCTCTGACGCCCCATACAGCTCCCTATCACGCGGTGGCTATAACCGTAAGTCGCAAACGCTAAGGCCTGTCGTTTGCGTTTGGCCCTACTTCCCACAGATAAGGCCGCATTTGCACACCAAAACACCCGTCCCGTTTGCCACATCCCATTTAACAATCCAAGGCACTCGCGCCTCTCCGCCGGCTCCCTGTGAGGGAGAGGGGTCTCCTCGCCCTCTACCCACCCGCACCTGCCTCCCTGCCTCCCTCGCTCTCTCTCTCTGAGCTCTGTCCGGTCACTGGCCGGCGCCGCGCGGTTTATGGCGAGCGGCCGGGTCGACGGCAGCCGAGGGCACGATGGCAGCGCCCCTGGCGGGGCCGCGCGGCACCAGCAGCACGTCGCCGTCGGCAGACAGCTGCAGACTGTACTCGGTCGGTGAATACGGCTGGTCGTCGGCGTCCC